CCCTTCCCCACCTCCTGCTCCCCATCCCAAATACCACCACCCAACCCACCCATCCACACCCCTATTTTCATTCCATCCCCCACCCCGACCATCCTTTGACAACAGCAATGAAGTGATTAACCAAAGGGCCAGCTTGTTTGGTTTCACGACACTCACTGTATCACATGAACAAGAAAAAGTATACATGTATCTTAACCGTTTGAGCCCTTGCCAATGGTATAACGGTGGCACGTAAAACTGCCCGTATGCCTAGCCACCGGTACAGCGGTGAACGAGACCCCGTCTCAAACCTGGCCCGCCTGAGACAAAATGCGTACGGAAAACAGCATTTACTACACAAGACGTTATTGATTGTTTTGAAGATCTTTCTGAATTAGATGCTGGTAATGACAAGGACTGCCCTGAGTGGGATATGGAATGTAATTTTGAAGATTGTAGAAATGTTAGTAGTATATCGCTCAGGAGCTCAGGCAGAGGGGCACGGTAGCTTTAGGGGATAAAGGCTCAAAGGGTTAAGAGTAGCTCTTTCAATTTGCTGAAATAGAAAGTTTTTATCTTTGTTTTTTTGTTCCTCAGTGCTTTGGTTTGTTGGGTGTGAACGGAGCAGGAAAAACTACAACCTTCCGAATGTTGACAGGTGACATCAGAGCTGCTGGGGGAACTGCTATCCTCAAAGGAAAAACGTACGTCCCGTCCCTTCTTTAGAGTGTTTGTTTGTTGGCCTATAAGTGCATGTACTGTCCATTGACATCTGGCTCTTCATTGGTGAACACTTAAGACAAAGGTTCAATTCCCAAGTAGTGAAATGTTGTATTTGTTTAACATCGCTGTGAAATCAGACACTCATCAATTTTTGTAGACGTGGAGTTATTGGTATCATCTGAAAGCTTAGTCATTTGCCTTACTTTCAATGAAAATAAAAGATATTTTCGAATGAAGGAGGTGAGGTCACCTGGTTTCAGTGGTGAAATTAACGAGAAAATGGCCGCTCATAATCCCAGAGGATCATAGGGGCGGTGTATGATAGAGAGCCTCATCAGGAGCCTCCACTTTTCACATTTTTTTTGCGTGCACCTGTGTTTGGGCAAAGGATTTCCCTGTTCACTCCACAGTGTTGTTGGTCCACCTCTTTCTTTGCCTTCCTCTCCTTCTCCTCCCCTGCACAGTTTCCCGAAGAGTGGTCTTGAATAGGCCACATGATTTTGTTACATAACTATACCAATTCAGTTTTCTTCTCTTCACAGTAGACAGCAAATCTAAATAGTGGCTCGTGTGTTGTTTCATTCTACCACTGTATCTGCAGGGAGAAAAAGAGTGTGACTCAATTGTGTTACTTCTGAAATAGTGGCTTGACGAATAAATATGTTCATCTGTTTCATCAAATTGGTTTATGTTATTATGATTTGTAATTGCCAGTTTGTGCTCTCTATGCTGACTGGAGAATAGTAACATTAAATTGAAAAGTAAAAAAAAAGGGGGGGGGGGTGTCACAGCTGCTCTTCTGTTTTCATTAAACTTGTCTCACTGACTTTCATATCTTTACTTCAGAATCTCCACAAAAGACCAAAACTTTGGCCAAGACGTTGGCTACTGCCCCCAGGAGGGAGGTTTGGACGATTACCTGACTGCTGAGGAGATGCTTCATTTCCACGCCCGCCTCCGAGGCTTCAGTCCTGAACAAAGTGAAATTGTAAGTTGAAAACTTTCAATACATGTATGTTGTTATTGTGAATAAAGTGCAATTGTAAGTTTAAAACTCTGAATACAAGTAAGTCTTGTTGTAAACAAAGCGCAACTGTGATTTTAAGACTTAAGCCCCATGTATGTTGTTACTGTGAACAAAGTGTAATTGTAAGTTTAAAACTTTATCTTCATGTATGTGTTATTGTGAACACTTTTTAATGTAAACTGATATATTTTCATGTTTTTATTGGCCTCCCCTCTTGTTTGTTTCTTTTTATGGCATTGGAGTACAAAGTAGTGTTATGGTCTGCGCTTTTTAATCTTTCTATTATTCATAGCCTTTCTGTCTGGGTGATCTATGTCTGGAAATATTTGCGTTGAACATATCACTTTAAATGGTGCTTAATTTTCAAATGGCAAAGCTAAGGCATACCAAAAGTAGAATACGCATAATTGAATATGTTTCTTTTTTTTATGGCGTTAAAGGTAACTCGGTGGAGGCTGCAACATGTTTCATTCTATAATGAAGTTTTGTGTTGTCCCATAGACTATATCAAATGAAAGGGAAAAATTCAGGGAGGGAAAAAAACAAAAACAATTTATGCTCATTACAAAATTATAGTGGAAGAAGAAAATGAACTCATTTTACCATGCATTGGATCAAGCTTTCTTCAGATTTCACCATTGTTTTCTGCCATTCTTGTCTTCCTCCAGCTTGTGCCTGACCTGATCGAACGGTTACAGCTGACAGCCTACACCAAGAAAGCTGTGCACACGTACAGCGGCGGAACTAAACGCAAACTGGCTCTTGCTGTCGCGTTGCTTGGCAACCCTCAGATTTTATATCTGGTGAGTTGACTTCTGACTAGCAATTTTCAGTTAGGGTAATTGGGTAATTCAGCGCTTGTACATCTGCCCTGATACCAGCACCTTTAAGATGCAAAGTACATTTCTCCATGGTGCTTTGGTAGCCGTCCTCACAACCATCCCACGTGGTTCTCCTCGACAAAGATTGTAGGAGGGATACGGCATAGTGACAGATGTGAAACCAGGATTGTATGCCCCAAATTGTACTTCTCCCTCCTCCCCCCCCCCCCCCCCACCAAAAAAAATAACACACATCCAGAAGATATTTGTGTAATCATAATCAAGTTCTTGGAGAATGAGCTTGATAAAAATGAGAAAACAACCAATGATAAATGAACTGAAAAAAAATCTTGCTTGCTCAAGGGCTGCATTCAATCCCACGACCAAGATAACTCGGTTCTATAGTTTTGTTCCATATACTAGTTATTTCATTTCGGAAAACAGCTTCAAGTTTTATATAAGGTCAATTTATTATTTCCCTAGCCAATTCTGCCAAGAGGGGTGCTGGAATTTTGTTTCTTCTGTCTTTACACATGAGGAAATTGCGCTTTTTATGAAGGCACTTTCAGCATGTTTGTTCCCACTGATCAGCTGAGCATGTTTCGCAATCGATTCTCTCTGCCTTTCTCACACGTACGTTTTTTTGTTCATGAAAGTATTCAGCTGTCTTTATTATACATATGCAACAATATATAGATATCTAGACACTCACAAGAATATTTGAATATCAATGTAGGCTTACTCTTGCTCTTTCGGCAAAGAAAAATAATAAGCCCTCAAAAATGCCAAACTTGTACGACAAGCCAAAGCAAAACTACTAAAGCTACATACTTCAAATTTGGTATGTGTAAAGATCCATTTTAGGTTGTACTTTGTGCTAAATTTCAAAGCAAAAGAATGATATTTATGGCTACTTGTGGGCCCTTACTTAAGCGCCAAAATGACCAGTTTCTGGGTACAATTTTGGGAATAACTCTTGGGATTGAGTGAGTTAAAACATGATTGATTGGTTTTACCCACCATCAACTGGCTCTGCTTTTGATTGTTTTTTGTTTTTTCTTTGTCTTCCCCAGGATGAACCAACAACTGGCATGGATGCTGCCACAAGGAGACTAGCATGGGCGGCCATCTTGCAAGCCAATCAGAGAGGCCAGTCTGTTGTCCTCACCTCTCACAGGTCAGAACATAGAGTCATGTGGAGAAATAGGACATGTATGTTACGATGCGGTGGAATCAGGTGCTTCTCCTGCTGGGACTTTGTATCCATTTCAGTCCAGGGTGGCCCTCTTGAGTCTTCACAGAAATGTGTTTTTAGATGGTCTTGAAAGTGTTGAGCCTTCTCTCCCCCCCCCCCCCCCCCCCCCCCCCCAAAAAAAATAATTTAAAAATTTATAGAAACTGCCCAAGGGGTGGAGAAATGTCGATTTCTTCAGTTTCATTATTTTGAGGAGCCCCTGACTTCCCCGTGATGCCACACATATGAAAAAAAATAAACAGCCAAATGTTGAGAAATAGGCCATATTTAAAGAAACAGGCCATATGTTGAGAAATAGGCCATATGTAAAGAAACAGGCCTTATGTTGAGAAATAGGCCATATGTGAGGAAACAGACCATCGTGCATTAAAAAATATTTTACTTTATGGATTGAGTGCCATATCATCCACTGAAGAATGCAGGAAAAGAAAAACATTTTGATGTTTAGCAGTTGTAATCTTAGCAGAAGTTACTAAAAAGGGAAATTCGTTAAAATGCATTCTAGAATAGGCATGTATTTTAGCTCCTCAACATAATTTAATCTATAAAAGTACTTCAGGTAATAAAAATGTATAAAATCTTTTTATTGTGAAAAATTACCATTTTTTAGCCTGCATTAGTGCGCTACCTATTGTGTGTGTGTTGTATATACTTTCACTACACATACCTTATGTGCATTCATTTTAATTTTAGTAAGTACAAATTGTATAGGTTTGCTCTACTTTCAATATGTTCCAGTACTCATTGAGTATGCTCACTGTACTTTCAGTATGGATGAGTGTGACGCCCTTTGCTCAAAGATTGCCATCATGGTCAATGGCAATATCAAGTGCATTGGCAGCCCACAGCACCTCAAGCACAGGTCAGTCCTTGCAATGTCCACTACTTTATGGTACTTTTGTCCAGCAGTTTTGTACTTCATCATAACTGTTTGCATTTAGTGGGATTAAAGTTATATATGACAATGTATAGATGTTGATTATTTGAAAATGTGCATTATGCTGATTAGTTTCTTGTCTGGGAATGAGTTTTGGTAAGTCTCACCCAGGGTCAGTGTACATTGGTTTAAACACTTTTTACTTTTCTGTTAACATGTTGTGAAAACTTAACTTCTTTGAAAACTTGAAGAAATTATTTTTACTTTTGTTTATTGTCACATTTTAAAAAATACAATACTCAGATTTTGCTAAAATTTCCCTTAGTTTCTTTTATTATTTTAAGGGTATTGATAGTCACATTAGACTTGAAAAAAAGTCCTGTATTTTTATGACCCGACATTGTCTGTGGTATTGTGTAAGGGTATGGGTTTTTCAAATTGAGATGTGAGTTCAAATTTAAAATGTGTAAGATATTTTGTTGAGTATTTCTGTTTTTACTATCTCTTATATCCCTGACACCCTCGGTTAAAGCAGTCTCCCTCTAAAATGGTCCTATCATAAAGTGTCAAATTTGAAACAGACATCAGCGATCATAGTTTCCATTTATTTCTCCTCTCAGGTACTCTCAGTAAACCTATTTGATCCTGGTGTTTCCTTATCACCAGGTTTTCCAAATAATTTCTCTGGTGCTAATACGGGCATACAAATTTTTTTAGGTAGCTTTATCAAAGACAGTAAAGAAGTAGACCTTTGGATGGGATATGCTAAGTAAAGAACTGCTGCAGAGGCCATAAATAAACACACTGTTACAGATACATGTAGAGTTCATTGCCAGAGGCTTGGACTTTGGACTCAACATATCTCATGTCTTCCCAGGTTTGGAGATGGGTACACTGTGATCATTCATGTTTCTGACCCGACCAGCCACGATATCTCCAATTTCTTCCAGCAGAAGTTTCCAGGGTCAGTCGTCAAGGTGGGTCAAATGTACAGTTGAGATATGAAACTTTTCCCAGTTGAGTTATTTCCATACAAATGTGGGAGCAGTATGATAAGAACGAGTCTTCTGCTTCTCTTGTCTGTTCATGCCATTTGATCAGGTGGTAAAAATTTGACTACAGTAGTATGGGATGGTGTGGTGTGGCGTGACGGGACATGGCGTGGCGTGGTGTGGCAGGTATTTTACGAAACTAGTACAAACACAGTAATGTGGTAATAGTGGCTTGACTTATGTTCAGACTTATTTCTGAGTCTGCACTATTTTGTAAAACTTTAGAGGCTTCTTGATCAATTCCTATCAGAGATAAATGTTTATTTTGATATCTTGACAAACAGCAAATTGAAATTGTGCCAGAAGGAATGATAAACACCTACTCAAACTTCTCCCATCCCCCTTTGTAATCACTTGGTTTTGTTCTCAGGCTGCACATCACAACAGTGTGGAGCTGCGCGTGCCCCAGAACTCGGCTAAGGTGGCAGATATCATAGCTCTGCTCCAATCATCGCAGCGAGATGGGGTCATTGAGTACTACTCTTTGTCTCAGACAACCCTTGACTCTGTAAGTCCCTAGCTGATATAGGATACTTTTTTGTTTTATAGATTAATTCCTTGAGGACGTAGCGGACACCATATGTCCGACAAGCAGCGGACCAAAGGCAGTGTTGCAGTACATTTTGAACCAATTTTCACATATCAGAAAAACAGATTTACATATCTCATAGTATGCACGTTGTTGCCTGCTTTTTTAAAGTTTCTGATTAAGAAAACTGAATAAGAAAATATATATGAAAAAGGCAATTACTTTGCCTCCTTTTTTAAAGTACCCCCCACAACATGCGTCCTTAAAGAGTTTAAAATCTGTTTAAATTTGTTTGTAAAAGTAATAGACAAAAGAATAATAAAAACACACAGGCTACTGAATTGATGATAACTGCACAGAAACAGAGCCTTTGTTTTTTGCTCTCATCTTTTACAAAATTCAATACTGTTTTCGTGAGTTAAGTTTGAGAACCATATTTTGACAAACCTGTGTATTACATAAGATGAATATTGCTCTTATAGAATGCTATTTGCCTTCATGATCATCTTCTCTGCAAACTGCTGTTCACTCTCTTCTTGGGAGTTGCATCAACTCAAAAAAAAACATGATCATTCTGTCAGGAAATAAAGAGTAGAAATTTTGAATTTTTCCTTTTGCCATAGTATTGATCAGTCATTATATTACTTCTCAGTTTACTCAGTCAAGTTGTTTTGGAGTGATTTTGTGCCAAACTCATTTGTAATTCATTTCTAACAAGAGGGCTTATCTTCCTCTGCTATTGAATATTTTGATGCCCAATTTCCACATATAACAACTATTCAGTATTCACACAAAAGACAGTGGCATAAAAATCATAATGCTGCAAACTACTGTACCAGCTTGTTTTTCTATGGGCAATCAGTGGGCATTGTGAACTATTTTGTTAATTCTCTTTGTGTTATTTCTGTTATTCTCCTGATGTGTTACTCTTGAAATTGGGCGTTATAGAGCTGGCTTGATGTAAACTGTTACTGAACTCAAAAACTTTTCATCCCCACCTCGGCTATCCAGGTATTCATCAGTTTTGCTCAGGAGCAGCGAGACAGTTACAGCGGCAGTTCATCAAGCAGTGCCAGCACAGACGGTCGCTCAGACACTCCACATGGAAGTATTTCGTCGTCCTCTTCACCACCTTCCTCAGACATTCCCAAATCCAAGGAATTGCCTGTATTCATTAACCCTCAATTTGTTCCTGACGAGCCACAGTCCCAGCCACAGCCCCAACCACATGCGCCTCAACAAATCTTATATAATCCACAGGCGGGAAACTACTCATCAAACATAATTATTGGTAGTAGACAAAACACTGATGCCCCAGATCATATTCAGACTCGGTTATGATTTGTCTCAATGTTGAACAAGTTAAAGTGATTCCTGTTGGACACATTGTTTTATGAAACCAACCAGTGCTTAAGACATAAAACAATGCCACTGGTATGATGCACAAAAGCGAAAGGATAAAATATATTTCCTGTCCAAATTTCGATGTTGCAAAGGTACACAACAAAAGGTTATCCTTTGAAATAATGTTCCTGTTACTGTTAGTAAATGACACTAAATAGGTAGTCTCACAATCATTTTCTGGAAACATTAAGAGATAAATGTATTTTAAATTTAGCCCTGAGGTTTAGTAAAATTGAAAGCTGAGAATTTAAGATTTTTCACTCACAATAAGGGGGACTATAAGTATTATGGAAATATTATTTTGAAATTCAAGTTTTCACTCTTTATCTAAAGTAGTATTCACTTTTATCTGACCTTTGTATGAATCTGAAGTTTGATCCAGTCCTCAGATAAAATTTGATTTTCTAAACCGACTTGTCAGGAGACATTTCTAGGCAAATCTTTTGCACAATGTTCTACACAATTCAAAGCAAAGCTCTATAAATTGCTCTAAAATGCTGCCAATTTTTTTTGTATGTTAGCAATGTTGACAAAGCTCTCTTAAAACTATGTTGGCCTTTCAAAACTTACTTAAAGACCATCCAGTATTTGATCTATACTCTCTATATTGCATTCAAGTTGTAATCATGATCATGTGAGTTTCTTGTAGCAATGACAAAGTGTCCTTAACATGTATTATACTATACTCCGCCTCCTTCCAGGGCCTTTAAAATTATAAATTCACTAAGCTTTTACTACTTAATTAAGATCTTTTAATTGAAAGTGGATGAATATTTGTCTTGCAGGGTGACTTATGTCTGAAATGTCAAGGAAGAAAAAGATGTCACTTTTTAGTTTTATTAAGAATTCACACAGCCTGGAAATACACATATAGCTGAAAAATTTGAAGAAGTTGCAACATTTTGAAAAAGTCAACTGATCTTTTCTAAAATCTTTTTTGCCCTTGGTTGACAGATTTACGTTGAAAACCTAACAAAATGCAGAAGGAAAGTAAATCCAAAGGCAAGTGTAGAGTGATCATTATAATCATAATGAGCTATTGATAAGGCACCTTCAGAAACACATATATTGCCTTCATTCGTTTGTGTGGAAACTATATACTTCTTTCAAAATATGTTGTACATACATTACCATTGCCCAGTAACCAGTAATTTAAAAATATACTTTTTTTAAATTGTTGTCCATATTGTGAAATGAATATATATCAAGTTGGGTTGTGCCTTTAAATCTATCTGAATTATTATTACTATGACAGACAGACAACACGTCAACTGATATTACCAGTTTTCTGTTTTGAAATTTCGTTTTAACAATATATTGACTATACTGTACATTTTGTAACTCTTCAGTAGCTTTAAAATTTCAGAAAGCATAAATGTCCCAACAAAATTTCTGAAAAATTCATAGCTGTTCTGGTGGTGATTTTATGCTTGTAACGAAAAAGAAATGAACGTTATTGTAATCTTTAAATCACCCCAACAAAATTAATCCTGATAAAATTATCCACATGACTCTCTTTTGTCAGTGATGCCTTGACGAGTTTTCATCCTCATCCATATCTCTGCATTACTGGTGCTGATTTTCACTACATTGGAAAAAAAAACATGAAATAACTTAGTAGACACTTAACATGTAGCATATTATTATTAACATAGGCTTTTTGCCCAACATGACAAATATGTTTATTAATGCCATTGTCATACTTTTGTTTTTCCGAATGAATCGCTGAGCGATGAAATGCACCGTAGAGCGATGCGACTTTGGTTTTTTGTTGTTGGTTGTCCCCAATCCCTTCACCCACATCGCAGCCTTGTGCTTCTAAACATTGCGTTTCTTTGCTTTCATGTACACAGTGCTATAGTTGCTGTCAAGACAATGTACTTCTTGTTGCTGCTCAGTAACGATCAATGCAAGCTCAGTGGCTTCAGGTAGCCCTGGCCTCCCTCACAACCAATGGTTTTACTCTATAATATATATATACCAATACATAATTTATAGAGTTGTGAACAACAAGGTGATGACAGTTTTTCACTTGTACAGAATTTATATTTCTATAATAAAGAAGTTTGAGCAAATATTACATAACTCTTACTTTTTGAATGCTTTCGTGTAAATTCATAATATGCCAAGTCAGCGGTGTGTGAGCTGGCAGACAGACATATTGCACTCATTCACGTACATACACTCACATATACACACCTACTTATGACTGAAAGACACATTCACTCATTCATGCGCATGCACACACTCACACGCATGCAAACACACTCACACACACACATTCAGTCTCAGTACATGTACAAACACATATTGTCCATGGTCCACTTCATCTTTTTTTTAAAAAAAGATGTAGGTGTTTTTATGGCCTCATCAACACTATTTAGATCATTAAGGAGACCGGCTTCCAACCCTGCCTGTCAGAGCCAAACCAGGCTGAGAGGGATACAACATTCCAGTAGAAAGACTGAGATACTAGATCAAAATACTTCCCACTCGTAAATTGAACTCAGATCTCCTGCATGTGACAGCGAAGCACCTTATCCACTTCACTATCATAGATATTGGTGTTCAGCCTTTGTTATAAGAAAAAAATCTCTGTTGCAACAAAGTAATAATAATAATACCAATAAACAGCATTTGTATAGCGCATACCCTGCTCGACAGCAAATTCTATGCACTTTATACAATACGTTATTATCCCTGCAGACCAGAGAACACTCAGAAACATTCTCAGCTTCCCAGGAAGCATACGGTGCAAGCAGCTAATTAAACACTCAAAACTAACAATCTGACAAGATCTTTAACTGTCTATAGCTGGGTACCCATTCCCACCAGGGTGAAGTGAGGAAAGTTCAAGTAAAGTGCCTTTCCCAAGGAAACAACGTCAGGCCCTTGATGGGATTCGAACCCATGACCTTATAGTTGTGAGAGCCTAACCACTAGGCCACATTCAGCATTTCCCTGGGCTATGCGTCACCCCAGTTTGAATTCCTAACAAGACATTTTAGAATTTAAATTGTTCAGGGCTTTTCTGTGGCTATCCTTGTACTTGGTTTGGTTCCCAGAGATGGATGTTAAATCAGAGGTCCTACATAATAACTTAATGTTAAAAGCGGCTATAAACTCATGCTATATCATCACAATGTTGTTAAAAGAGGATCATTGCTGAAAGACCTAAGTATAGTCATAGATGAAAATTTGAATAGTTGTTTTGGCACATTTTTATTTGTTCTCAGCAAGCAGAATGCTCAGAGTCCCTCCAAGGCAAATTGCGGTGTGTTTTTTTGTCAAAGAGGAGAGGTGTATGCTAGTAAGACTGAAAAGTAAATGAATTGTAACAGATGAAATTTCAAACAATGGACGTCTAAATAAAAACCACCAAAATATAAGAACTACAGTAAATTAGACCAAGTTACTTGCTGTGGTTCCAGTGAGTGCAAATAATAATAATAATAACAATAATAATAAAAATAGTGTCTGACGATGACCAATATATGCACAATGGAAAATGTTGCTCCAGCAAAATAGAAGAATTAGAAGAATTAAAGGTTGAGATGACTTGTGACTTCTGCTGTGGCTGATGACTTGTGACTTCTGCTGTGACTGATAACTTGTGACTTCTGCTGTGGCTGATGAGACCAATTCTTGCAGAGAAAAATTTGCCAGTTTGAACATTTAAATATTTTAAAGGCTCCCCTTTCACTTGTGGATGCGTGCAGCTTCCAGGCCTTTCACTTGGTTTCACGATTTCTTATTCATGAAGTCTCATATGATTTGCTGCTCACTGTGACTGCTACTCTCCACCTGGGCCTGTCAGTGTCAGAGCATGCTTTCCCATGTGGAAGTATTTATGTTGGAGTCCTTCAGAGACATTTTCAGAGGTTCCCAGTGTTCGCCTAAGCTTCACCCTGTTCAGCACTCCGACAGAGATATTATCAATAATTGTATTATGTGCATTCCACATCGATGCTGCAAGCTGTGTCGACAAAACATAGAGACAAAGTTTTTCTTTCATTTCGTTAACACGTAAAAGTTGGGGGAACATTTCTATTCATCCGTTCATTCTCTTCTTTTTCAGAGCAGCACAGCCCTTTCAGAACATAGCTTTCCTGACAGCCTTATTGAAGAGTTCTTTCCAGTGCCATGTTTCCAATAGTTCAGAGACGTCCTGCCTACATCTTCATTTTTGACAGTCCTCAGCCACATTTTTCAGGAACATTTTCTTTAACAAAGTCCTTTTCCAGCATGACCTACGTTTACCATTTCTCTTGTTTACATAGTATTTGTTCACTTTCAGCCCCCTTCTTTTAAAATTGAGATCTTTCAAGTTAGGCAGCACCTTAAGCTGCCTTCTATTGCGCTTCAACTCAAATGAGTTTAGGGTCTTTGCAACTGCCTTGTTCAATACACATGATTCACATCTGCATTTTCTGAGACATTAAAACTTACAAACATAGAGTGAAGTAAAAAGTATGACATTTAGAAAGAATCTTCAAGAGTTGCAAAACAGTTAGGGAAAGCCAAGGTGGTGATCACTCGACATATAGACCTACAGTATTGAGACAAAACATTGAAGTACAGAGGAGAGATCTAAAAAGGGTTCAAACATAAGCCTACAGGTCCTCAGATAAAATTCCATCTCAGGGCTACAATAATGTTATGTAAAATGTGGTCTATTCGGTTGTTTTTGATTGTGGCAGGGGGTTAGGCCTAGCCTATTGTATTGTTTGGCTGAAAGTGTGAAAGTGAGTAAAGTGTGAGTCTCAGTTCAGTTGTATTGTTTGCAAGTTTATAAAAGCAGTCTGGGTTACTACAGGTTAGACTTTAGAGGGGAGAGCTGTAGCAAGGCAGAGGAGGCCTGCTGAGAGTTCGGGTGGGGAAAAGGCTAGTTAGAGCCTTGGTTTGTTTCTGTGTAACGTGTGAGATTCCAACACATCGGGGCCCCATCGTTGAGGAAAGGATCACCATCCAGATGGAAACAGGTTTGGCTAACCCCTGTTGTAGGCGCAGGCAGACAGAAGGTTAGTGCTAACCATTGTTTTATGTTCAAGTAACAACATAAAACAATTTGAAAGCAATAATTCAAGTCATTTTGGAAAAGAAATCCTATTTTATTGCCTTCTGAAAAGAAAAAAATATCACCCAAACAATTGTCCGAAGTGTTGCATACACAATAACAGACACTAATTTGCTGTAGAAATAAAATCACATCTAAGCACATCTCAAAACATGCTGTATGATTCCACTTAAAAGCACAACAGGGTGAGCTCTACATTCAACAATTAATTTAGTAACATGTATTATGTCTCGCCAAATATCTTTGCATGAAATCACATGAACATACAGGTCACTAATATTCTTTCCTTGCACAGTCTTCAACATTCTCAATCAATAACACACACACACACACACACACACACACACACACACACACACACACACACACCACACACATGCACCCACACATACACATTCACACACAGACACACACACAAACAAACAAACACATACACACACACACACACACAAGCACACACAAGAACACCAAAATAACCAAAATGAGCAAGTAGCTGCAGCGTCCTCACCCGAGCACAAACAAGCATATATAAACTCACACACAGACACAACGGCACAAAACCAAACTAAAAGCACACATATGCTTTACATGCATTCATAAACTACAACATACCACATGGTCATAACACAAATGCTAATGTCAGTTTTTTTCCAGGTATCTTGATATTGGAGTGGTAGGAATACCTGTTATGCATTTCAGGTTTTCACTGAATTTAAATATATAGCAGGGCTTTGTATTACGGTCTAAAAATTCAATTATTGAGACCATTTACCCTTTTGCTCAAGCTAAAAGGTTGACTCAGATAAGCGCTGTTTTTATAAATTCATTCGCTACGCCGAGCCGGAGGCAGTGACATGGCGAAAGTGACTTCGCTACGGCAAACCGCCCCCAAGGGCTCGAGAACCGACCTATAATTCTAGCTTAGATTTTATCCCAATCCACATATCCATGTTAAAATAAAGGTTAGTATATAACGTTGACTTCCAAGTCAAGCGTTTCCACCGAAAATCAGAAGTTTAGGTTCAGTTTTTAAATGCAATTTCGAAGTATGCGACTTTGTTTTATCGCGATGCCCAAATTATAGCACAGACACCAGTTTTAGTACTTTTACACAATAAAATCTATAATTATTTTGCTCACTACAGAAATGTAGGCATCTTCTTTAGAATATTGATACTATTGGACTCAGGTTGCCAGTGCTCTGTGATTGAGAAATCAATATTTTTCAGCGCTAGATCTAGATCTAGATCTAAATTGTCAATATATTTTTTTTTCTCCCCCAGATCACTATTTATGGGTGAAATTACACCAAAAAATACCACTCAAGACATGTATAGGTTTATTCCAAATGCACTTCTGAATAATTCCATTTAAGATAAGACTGTTTTTTTCTTTTTGTGAATGCATCTTGTCCTTTTTTAAAGATTATAAAATTTTTAATTTTTTTTTCAAAATCTGATGTTACGATTGAAATGTACAAATTTTATGGAATGTATGTAAATAACTGCAATTTTTTAAATAGTTTCCAGTTCTATATCCATTTATGGCTATTTTGATGTGTCATTTGACTAGGTGCAAATTTATTTTTTGAGTTTCACCAAAGATTATTAATTTTTTATTTTCAAATTTTATCCGCATCCAAGCAAAAGTGTGTTGCACAATCGCCTCTTACAGGACCCAAAGTTGAAAAATACACAAATGAACATTACAGATGTATTCTACAAACCATACTCAAAATTTGGTGTGTAATATGTTGATATTTATTTGAATTTGTGGCCCCAAAGACCTGTGAACTGCGCACTAGTCACCATCTCATTTCGCCCTCCCGAAAAAAATTCGTCCACAAGCTGAAAATAATATGTAGCGAATGAGTTACCCTTTACAGCCCCAGTCATGTATATTTCCCTCACAAGTACTCCTTCCCTCTCAAGCCCCGCTTACACGCAACGATATATTGTATCAGATTCGTCGTATGAGAGAACTGTCCGTTTTATCGAACTCTGTTGTCTGTTTACACGTTCCAATCTATCACTAAGTTTTCTTTTGAATGAGGAGATTCTTCGTCATAAAACCGCCCTGCTCTTTGCAATGACAGCGATTTGCCTGCTCTCTATGTGAAGGTTTCGAGCTCTGAACCTAATGAATGAAAGGCGAACATTGTACCTCTAGATCACGAGAGCCCCCCTTCCCCTGTACATTTTGATTAAGCAGAACAGTGTCTTTAGAAACGGGCGGCCATACTGTAGGTCTACTGTGTTGTGTGTAGAACTGGAAGCTGAGACTTGACTGCAGATGTGCAACGCACCGAGTGACCTTGATGCACAGCTTCACCCTAGATGATCAACTAAATAATGAAATTGCTAAAATATATATATATATATATATATAATAACACACCAAATCAGGTTCCTCACGAGCAACTTTGCTTATTTTGAGACGCTGATTCCGAATATGAAATCAGTTTTTACCTACAATAATTATTTAAAAAATTTTGAGCCCAGAGTCTAGTTCTGCACGGCGGCAAATTTCAAAGTGAATCTATGTCAGTGCGCGTCTCCCTCAAATAAGACCGTGATTGCACGGAAAATATCAAGCAGTGCTTGATTTCTCGACCGAGTCTCCAAACCATTGGTCAATCCTCCAAATTTTGTACAATTTTGTGGTTACACCTAACGTTTTATCGTATGATCGCTATATCGTCCAGTTTTTGTACAATTTATCGTTACGTGTAACTGGGCCTTCAGGAGCCAACTCAAACCTAGCTGGAATATTTTTTACAACAATCTGACAGTTTCTAAAAAATAATATTCTACATGTTATCTTTTAAAATTTCAACCAAGAGCAGTATAGAAAGTTTCTTAAAGTCTGAAAAAAATTACTGACACAATCAGTGTTGTCTGGACCCGAGGAGTCATGGACTCCAGTATTACCTGGGCCAGAGGGAAGTGGGGGCTAAAAACATCCCGGTGCTGTAAGGGTTAACATTTTGCAGTCACTTGACGAGATAAAGTGCTGGTGAAAATTATCCGTTCTGGTCACCTCAGGCCTGAGAAGTCCGTTGTAGTCGTTCTCCTGGCTGGGTGACCAGATGAGGTATTTAGCACTGCTTGCTGCATGACTGCAAAGTGTTAATGTGTTCTAAAAACAAACAATCTATTTTTAAAATGACATTGTGAAAGTGTGTTAAAACCGAGAGAATATCTTTATCACTTGTGTGTCACCATCACTCTAAAAGGAAACTGATAATTCGCAAGTCCCGAAAATGTGCGGTCTTTCTCCGAGTCCCGAAAATGTGCGGTCTTTCTCCGAGTTCTGTCTCCTCACAGCCGAGATAAAACAAAAATCCTACTACTGTTTTGCTTCACAGCCTCTTCTGCTACAAATTCTTCATCCTCTCGGCAACCCACGCCTCTATCCGTGCCTTTAGCTCAGACTGGGGTATAACCATGTCCAGAGACAGAGGCTGGCGGTTGAACGGGTCCGTTTGGTCACTGAAAGGGGTTGGGGTGTTTTAAAAAGAAAACCAAATTAAGCTTTTTAAATTTACAGCATTTCAAATTAATGCTTTGTCAAACACCACTCTAGAAGCCGAATTATTAAAAATACGCAAGAGAAGAAGTAGGAAAGGGTTTATAGTACAAGTGGTTGTCTGGGACAGGTGACCATTAGAGCAGGTTCAACTGTTTCTTACAAAATGAATAAAGAGTGTAATCAAAATTGAAAAACAACTTTAATATATTCCATAAATGTTCCAAAATTTCCAAGTACAAAGTGACATCAATGTCATCCAAATATATGTAAAAGCTCTCTCTGAACTCATCAAAGTCAATAATTAATGTCTAAATCAGAACTGCCTTCTAAAACACCTGTAAAAAGAGGTAATAACTTAGTAATTTCCTTAAAAATCTACAGCAAGACATACTGGGTGAGTAACATAATAATTTTGCCCTTTTAATTAATGTGTAAAATATTTATTAAAATTATTAGCATCTCTCACCTGAGGACATGTCTGGCGATGACGTTGCGGTCAACAATATTCCGAGACGCAGGCAACATGACTGGGTCGGTCATCAGAGTGCCCATGATGGGGTCCAGGAACTCCTCGGGGGCGTCGGCCAGAGCCTGCTCCTCTGACACCTTCACTGACTGCATGGCCTGTGGAAAAGGGGTGGGATAATATCAAACCTACAATAGAGGGATTGCTCCCATTCTCCTCTTTCTCCTTACCAGCACCTTCTCCGCCTCTCCTTTTCCCCCTCTCCTTCTCTTCCTTCAGGTCCACTTCTTCTAATCCTCATCTTACTCTTCTTCTCCTCCTTCTTCTCTTCCTTTTTCTTTTCTTCTTCTATTCCTCATCTTCCCCCTTTTCTGCTCCTCATCCTCCCTTTCTTCTCTTCTGTTTCTTCTTTTGTTCTCTCCCTCTTGATCTCAAAAGTACTACCTACAGGTTCCTCAACTTATAGTACAAAAACTGTTTGACATTTACAGCCTACTTTCTTGTTAGCATGAAATCGTTCCTTGTCTTGATAATCAAACACCATTTTTGAAGGAACTCCAAATAAATCAATTTCACTGCGAAAAGCCTAACCACTACAGAAGTACAGACGCTGGAGCATAATGTTTGAGGACCCAGTTTCTCAAACTCAACAGCAAATAGAAGAACAGGTTATTGTATTGGCTCATTATGTTTCCCCTTTCATTACAATAATTAGCTTCACCTTTTCCTTCACCTATCACGCTGTCTGGCTGACCATCGGGACACCACTGTAGATTTCACAACCAGTTTCTTCCACTCCTTGTGGTTGTCAGCTTACTTAGCGGCTAGCAAATCAAACTGAGCTCATTTTACTAACCAGATAACATCATGTGCATGCAAATGGGCTTAAGAAAAGACAAAAAAGCTTACCTTTATCTTATCATCTAGCTGAATAAAGTCATGTATAGCCTGTGGGGATTCTCCTATCCGTTCTAGCACTTGGCAAGCCTGCAGCAGGAGGGGGAAAAAAGTGCATGTTTTTATATGACACATATTGTGATTTAGTGGCAAGCAAGAAACGAAGAAATGAAATATGAATAGAACTGTCACTCTTCTTCTTCTTTGACTGCTTTCCCCAGCAATTCTCACTACAATCAAACCTCATATCTATTGTAAGTAAACAACATTATCTATATTCATTGTTCAACAAATTTGCTAATAGCGCTCTGACAAAGAGACAAATATTGTATCTGCAGACATATATTGTTGCTGCAGACACAAAAGCTTACTTTTTATTTGTCACATTCAGGAAATAGTGTCCCTTAATTTATTGAACACTTACTACTAGGGTGCTGACAGTATATCAAGGTTCCTATATTTCAGGAACTTCATGAATGATAAATAAAAAGAAGTATGAACACCAAAAACAAAAAGAACAACATACAAAAAAAAAACCCAAATAGTTAGACCTTCCCATATTTCCAGTATTCTGAGAACCCTGTCACACCCAAAAGAAAAAGAAAGAGCTCTTGACATTAAAAGAATTATGAGAATTTTTGTTTTTAAAGGATATCCAAACAATAATGTTAACCTGCACAATATGGTCAGCTGACTTATCGGCTTAGTTGTACAAAGATAAGATATCACCCGTCACCTTGGCCGTGTTCATCTATTGGTGCTCCACTCCTTGTCACAACAGGCCTCCATATTCCTCATTCTCTGCTCTAATGAATTATTCCATGAAGTTGTAGACCACTGTCAGAATTAACCTTTTCAGTGTAAGATGTAAGGGATGGGGGGGTGTCTTCCCTTACTCCTGTTGGCCATTATACACTTAAGCTGTCAGCTGACAAAATGTCTTTAAAATTTTGGCGCCAAAATCTTTAATTTGCTAAATCGAAAGCCTGATCAGTTACCTTACTTGTGTGAAAAAATCAAAGTGAAATTGACTAGTCTTTAAATAAATAAAAATTCAAATTTCTCAAGCACTTTACTTTTAAATGGTAAGGCGAACAAAAAAAAACCTCTTTTTCTCGAAACTGCTGTGAATAGAAAAAAAGGCGTTTTGTCAGCTTACGGCAGACTTGTCGTCAGATTCATTTTAAAAGATAAGAAGTGGCCAACATCAATTGAACACGAGAGACTGACCTGTGAAAAGAGTTCACTGCTGTACGACCGCTGATCCTGAAACACAGCCTGGCAGAACAGGTCACTATGCTGCAGGTTCACATAGATGGATGAAATGTTGGACACTGTCTCCTGAGGCTTGAAGTCATAGTTTTCCTTGTCTCGCACGCTGAACTCACGCTGTTTAGGTCCAACCTGAAACAAAAACACAAGGGTGCTATTGAAAACCTTGCAGTGAAGAACGTGCAAGCTTTTTCTTATGTACAAAAGCTTCCAGATGACAGTCTCTAAAGGAATGCTTGTACAAACTAAAGGAAATGTATAACCAACAGTGATTGTAATACTTAAAGAGATGGAGAAAGCATGTTATCTTGAAGCAACCTATAACATGTCTTTTGGGTTCCTATTCCTCTAAATCCTGTACTTCCCTCATACTCTCTGTCTCTCTCATATTCGTATTAAGCACACATACACACAAACTCACAAAGCTAGTTTTTCAAAAAAGGATATACCTTTCTAGCTTACAGCCAACTACTGGATAACAAACTAAATATCCCCCCTCCCCATCCTTTTCGCTCTCACTCTCTCTCTCTCTCCCTCTCTCTCCCTCTCTCTCTCTCCCCCCCCCCTCCCCCCTCTCTCTCTTTCTCACGCACTCACGTAACACACAAACACACACACCAACTTTTAAAAGAGAAGAAAAAAAAGGAAAAAAGAACTAGATTTGAAAACAAGCAGTGAGAACTAGACTGACTCACTAGACGACACAGGAAGTAGTTGAGCATGCTAGCGATGCGATCCACAAACGTCGCATGGCAGAAGATGGACTGTATCTGGCCCGTGATCATGCGCAGCGTGCTGATGGTGGAGGAGCCCATCACATTGTGGTACTGAGCCAGCCGCGAGATCTGCTGGAGGTTGGCCTCTTCCTGGTGGCGCTGGGCCTCCGGTAGACGGCTCCAATCACCGCGCTCACGCTCCTGCTGCTTCTCTTTGATCTGACCCATGAACTGGGGGGGGGGGGGGGCAACAGAAGATGATGCTTTCAACAAAAACGCTTTACAGGAGATAAGAGAGGAGAAATGAACAGAGGAGAAAAGATATGAGGAGAGATAAGAAGAGAGATGAGAAAAGAAAAATCAAAATGAAAAAAGAAGAGAGGACAGGTGAGAAAAGAGAAGAAAGTAGAGTGGAGAGATCACAGAACAGAAATGAAAAAATGAAGAGAGATGAGAATAGAGTTTAGATGAGAGAAAAGTTGAGAGATGAGAAAAGAAAAATGGAGAAGAGAAGAAAAGGTAAGAGAGGAGGCAAAGGAGAAGAGATGAAATGTAAAGAAAGGAGAACAAAAAAGAGGAAAGAAATGGGGAAAAAGACAACAAAGGAGAAAAAGAGTAGATGAGAAAAGGTGGGAAGAGGAGATGGAAAAAAAAGAGATGAGAAGACCATGATAGACACATTCAAAGCTCAGGTCATCAAGTCTCTCCAAAATGAGCAGGATGAGTGATACCAAGAATGAAATGGTAAATTAGCTGTCTAATTAAAAAAGACATGTTATGTTGATCTATAAGCAGATAGACAGAAAGAAGACAGACTAGCTAAAAGGGAAAGTGATCCATTTACTAGTAAACAGTTTTCCTTATTTGTCACAATAGGAGTCATACTCTGTAGAAAATATTTATTCAGTTTCTTTGACATTATTAGATTCAGAGCAAACAAAATTTCTCAAAAGCTAATAGTGATGAATGGTTCCACCAGTCAGTTATTATATCCAGTGTCAGACGGCTTTACTTAGATGTAAAGATACTGAAAACAAACAGGTTTTGAGAGCATCTGATTTTTAAAAAGAAGAAAATAAAAGACTGTTCATACCATGAGGGCTTCGTCCAACAAGTAAGTGGCGTCATTCACCAGCAAGTTGATGAAACGCAGGAACAAAGGAGGGTCAGAGCACAAAATATTCTCTTCTGCATATTTTGCTAGCCTCTGTTTGAAAAATAAACGGAAAAAAAGCTAAAAATAGCAACAAAAGCGTTGATTTGCTAGCGAAAACAGCTTTTTAGAGCTGTACAAAGCATTGTAGGGCTTTCTTATTTTGTCAGTGTGTTTGTATGTACATGAGTGTGTGTCACTCCCTATATGTGTGAGTGAATGTATAAAAGAGTATGTGTGTGCACACCCCGGCCTCTGTATGAGTGTGTGCGTGTGTGTGTGAACCTGCATACAAGTTCATGTGCAAGTGTGCAGGGAGAGAGACATGTAAGTGGACGTTAGTTTTACATCGTGAAGCCCATCTTCCGTAAATGTAAGTAATTCTTGGTACAGGTAACATCGCACATCAGTGTGGATATCCACCAAAAAAATAACGCAACAGTACAGAGTAGACTGAACACTGATTGCAGAGAACTGTGGCATAATCAAAGAAAAACCACCGCCACTTTAGCAAAGAGTATTCTTTCTTTCTTTTTTTGTTTTGTAAGTGTTTTACGGTACTTGCAACACAATGAGGTCATATAAGTGCCAAAGATTAGAGGTGTTACAAGAGAGTAACAAACAAAAAAGAAGGAGGGGAGATAAGGATGATAGGTGTTTGATAGGAAAGAAGGAGCAAACCACACCAGAGCACCCGCCAACCACCCACAAAGAGTATTCTAGGAAACAATTTTGCAACACCTGTGAAAATCTGAACTTGGCCTTTAAACATTGGTGAAAATAAGAAGACACCAAGGTTTTTGTTCCAATTTTTTAGTCGCAATTTCTATATCAAAAGCTAAAAAAAAAGTTTTAAATCTTAGATACTGCACAATATACTACAGTTATCTGACAAATAACTGGGTTATCACAAAATTTCATTGTAGAAGAAATAAAGAAATTAAAATACAAATACAAAAAAATTACTTTGATTTTTTCCTGGTGAGCTGGAATGTCCCAGATGTACTTGAGGATGGTGTACATGGGTCTGCGGTAGTTGAACTTCTGCTCAAAGGCTACATTCTCTCCAGTCATCTCAATGCTGACAAAAACGTGCATGATGGCCTCTCCCAGCTGCATGATGTGGGGGTGAGTCTCAAAGAGCTGTTGCCGGAAATGTCTGTGGAAGGAAAGCAATGACATTTTAGATTTTACAATAATAATAATATTTGTATATCACTAGTTCAGACTCAACTGCAAGCTCTATGCGCTTCACAATCTATATTATTACTTCAGCAAACCTGATGGTATTCTGAAACAATCTCAACTTCCTGGGAAGCATATAGTGAAAGCTGCCATTTCATAGGCTGTAAAACACTAACATACTGACAAGAACTTTCGCTATGTACCCATTCCTATCTGGGAAAATTCATGTAAAATGCCTTTCCCAAGAGCACAACATTGAGCCTCAGGCTTGAACCCCTGATCCTTCAACTTCACGATTGCAAGTCTGGTAGCCTAACCACTTGACTAACAGAGGAAGAATTAAATGCAAACAATAAACATTAATACTAAAAACTTTGTCTTTTTTTGGGTATTTGCCCACTTATGATCCCATAGTCAGTATATATGTCTGAAACTAATAAAAAGTTTTAAAAAAGGACCTGTTTTTAAAAAACCCACAAAAAAAGGGTTTCCAGCACCAAAACAGTTTTAGCACACCTTTCATTTAAACATGTTCGCTAGAACCACACACCATAACCATATCCAAGCTGAAACCTTTTCTACACTGTTCTTCTATCCCAAGTGGTCTTTGCAAGAACAACTCACTGGGGGGCAAGGCCTTTCTCCGGGTGTCTCTCACTGAGCGGCATCAACGAGGCCAACATCTCAGCCAGCTCTGCCCGCAAGTGCGGGTTCTTCATCCTCCGAGGAGAACTCATGAACACCAGCACCAAGGTCATCAGGTACTGCAGACTAATGAGAAACAATTACAATTAATTATTAAAGTAATGAAGGATGAACCTCCATCTGAAGTTCGTTTGAGTTTTAAAAATATATTGATACAATAATTGTCATTCAGTGCTGGGAAACAGTAAGATATATACACAGCAACAAAGCGGGGGGGAGGCACCAGCAATCAAGATCTGAAAAACTAAAGGGAAGTTGCAACATGGTAGAAGACAGTAAAACATCAGTAGGATGAAAGACTCTGGGTGTTCCCAGCCACAATATGCTTTGTTTTGGGTCCCAGGAAAGCCTTCAAAATACCACAGCTACAAGAGACATACTTTCCAGTTCGAAGACAGCATAATGTGTTAATGTTATAAACTTGAACCAGCTTTGGCAGAAAGATGCTGGTCTCTTTCTTCCCCTTTTCCTGGTCTTTAGAAAAATAATCTGTTTCAGAGCAAAATGTTGCTGTTATTGCACTAACCTGCCCTGAACAATACTGAACAACAACTGACATTTAACAAATTTAAGAATGATGACTCATTTCAAGTTACCCATTTCTCTAAAAACTGAAAAACATTAACCAGCTCAGAGCTTTAGGAATGGTTTCAGGGTGACTGTTAATTGCAGTGTCTTCCTCTTTTTATAAAACATAGTCTCAAAAGAGACAAAGAAAAGAGTATCACTTTTATCCTTTCCCTTCCTAGTATAGACATAAATGAAACAGATTACCAGTATCTATGGTGGAGTGATTGGGCACTTTGCCATTGCACACAAAAGACATGAGTGTCATACCAGAGTGGGGAAGCTGTTTATATATAGAGTATCTCAATCTGTCTGGAGGGATATTGTATCCCTCTCAGCCCTGACAGGCAGGCCCTGTAAACAATCTATATTATGTCAATGGGGGTGTAAAACATATACAATAATGATAATAAAGAAAGTTTAGATGACATTAAAATGATGTATTATTTCTTATTTTCAATAAAAATAATAAACTTCTAGACACAAGTGGCGTTACATGTTTCATCGATCTATATTATGTCAATGTGGGTGTAAACCACATACAATTACGATTACAAAGAAAGTGTAGATGACAGCTGCACACGTGTGTCCCAGCATCACTCACTTGTCTCCCTCGGACTCCAGCACACCGTCCTCGAAGCGATGGATGTGGTTGATCAGGCTGATGATGTTCTCCATGACAAACTCCGGGATGCATGTCAGGACTGGGGTCGGCTCCTCAGGCAGGGGAAACTCGATCTTGGGAACCTGGGACCAAACCGTTGAAAGTAGCTACAGATGCATTTGTGAGGCAGTGTGGTGAAATCAGGCGCTCGTCACAATAATGAAATTGAAGAAACTGGTATTTTTCTGCCAGTTTGGCAGTTTTTATTGAATTTTTGTTTTTTGGCTTAACACCATTGTTGTCCAATTAAGAACACATTTCTGGGCGGATTTAACCGAAAAAAAAAGTTTATTAAAGGCACAAAAAAAGTAAGTTTTCAGTTTTCACGAACTATCAAGATATGAAAATAACCAAACTTTGGCGGCCATTTTCTCACTAATTCTACCTTTAAAACCAAGCCACCCCACCTTCTTCAATCTCAAACATCTTGATTTCTATTCAAGATACATGGGCATTTTTTCACCGATAGCAAGACAACTGAACAAGCTTTAAGTTGGTACCAAGAACTCCACATGCCCAAAAATTGACAAGCGCCTGATTCCACCACGTCGTGACACATTTTTAATCATTTTATTTGAGTATAGAGAAGCACATTGATACAACAATGGTCACTTAAAGAAGTGAAATGGTAAGACGGACAGATAGAAACAACATGAGAAAAAAAGAGAAGAAAGACCTGCCAGTGGCAACCTCATTCATACACGAACTACAGACATCAAAAGATATGGCAGCATTTATGTTGGAAGAGACAGACATCCTACATTTGAATGAAAAAGTTAGCTTTTCTGACAAATCAATAATCAACAATTATTACAGTAGGGAAAACTGACCTGCAACTTTGGTTGCTTTCTTAATCATAGATTGATTCCTAAATTTTGTTTTTTCTAATACAGGCCGTAGTAATTGTCAGCGTAAAAAAACAATAACATGCAAGGAAGCCAGAATAGAAATGCGGAACATTATTCTTTGCATAAAAGAAAATGTACTTAGTTCTTTTACTTTTATCATATCTAGATACACAATCTGAAAACACATTACATTTTGCTAATACTAAAGATAGTTTGCTCCTATAGATTATATAAATCCATAAAAACATTTTCCTACTTGCAAATTGAAAAGCTAATCTGCACTCAATCAACTTAAACCACACCCACAAACACTTTCAAAGCTGTGAGGAGCGTGTGTGTACAGTGTGTCATCAGTGCACTGAAACAAAACAGACTCAAAGACAAAAATCAGTGTGAGGCACAGAGTAAATAAATAGTAAACAGTTGCACTTTCACAACGTATTTCTACAGGTTTTTAGTTTTAGTACAGGTTTTACGATGCTCGCAACTTCATAAGGTCATATGAGCGCCAGGAGATTAGAGGTGTTACAAGAGAGTAACAAACATAAAAAAGAAGAGGAAATAAGGACGATAGATGTTTGATAGGAAAGAAAAAGCAAACAACACCAGAGCACCCGCCAACCACCCACTTCTACAAGTTAGTTATGTCACTATTGTCCAATTGTCCAGTATCACCTCTGTGTCAGCCGTGACCACCGCAGCACGAGGCAGTTTTTTTGTGGCTGCCAAACTGAGCCAAGAAGCAGAGGCGACCTGGAACTTGAAGGCCAGGGAGAGAAGCTCGGGCTGGGTCAGTGCTGCTTTCCTGTTTATGTAGATTGTCATAGCTGGAAGAGAATAGAGAAAAGAAAAAAGCTCATTTAGATGGCAGATTTCTTTTGTAACGAAAAATATAGTCTCTTGCTATGCACAGACAATTTCACCCATTCATGCTATCAGATACATACATGCATGCATGCATATGCATGCACATATGCACAACACATACACACATACACAACACATGCATACCCCCCACCCATCTCTCAATATTGCACACTAAGTCAAGCAGTTCAAAATTGAAATAAGGGGGGGGGGGGGTATACTTTACTTTTATCACTGAAGTAACAACAATGTCCATTTGATTCCTTTTACATTTTCCCTCACCTTTTTCCATGCGAGATTTGATATTGACCACAGGCTCCTCATTGCCCTGTGACTGCTGGATGATGTCGTTGTATAGGCGCTGGATCTGATGCAGGTCGCGATTCACAGACAACAGACGACCAATGACCGGCTGAAGGAACACCTGAAGACCACAGATACATCATGCATGAAAATTACAAACATCGGTCGGAGCAAAAATTCCTCTGAATGTTCTTTATATATAGCTCAAATTTCCTCATTTCTTTTAGTATTCATTTCAGTAAGAGTCTTAAGGCACTTGCAACACAAATAGGTCATATAAGTGCCGAAAGTAAGAGGAGTTACTACTAGTGATAAACATATGAAGAAAAGAAGGAGATAAAAGGACAATAGCTGTTTAATAGGAAACAAGCAGCTAAACCACACCAGAACACCCTCAAACCACCCACTTTCCCGTTTCAACAAAGAATAATATCAACGCTTATATAGAAACTGAGCCCATTAAAAATAACCAATTGTGAACAGGAAAGCTCTGACATCTTGGACACAGTATTGTATTTAAGCTGAATATGACAACACTATAAAGAATTCACACAATAGACAAACAAGGACAACAACCCACAAGCCCACATATTTTCTTCAAGCAATAACTACACAATGATAATCCTGTCAGAACAGCTGAGAGGTGAAAATGTGATAAGAAAATCAACTTGAAACATAAAAGAGATAAAAACAATCCCCACCATACCTGAAGGGTCCTCTGGGTGATGAAAAAGCACTCGGTGATGAAATTAAAGGTGTCTTCTTCCTCCCCCTTCTCAGCATCTTCTGATGGAACCAAGCAAGTCTCCTTTTGCAAACCTGCACGAAAAAACAGCATAGTTACAATGACTACATGGTATCTCAAGCTGCACATAGGAATATCAAAGAGACTAAGATAGATCCTAAATTTAGAAACACATTGAAAGCGTCTCCTAAAGAACACTAAAAACTTCTGAGAGACCACCTTACGTTCAATTAAACTTACTGGTAAAAACAGTAACATGATTCGAAAACTATACTGCAGGATATATGAGGACTAACTACAATTATAAGAAAAAAACAAAAAACTCTCAGGCTACCTTGTAATGCATATAAGTTTTCTAAAACATTAAAAAATGATGAATAGAAAAGACAATAAATAAATGCAGCAGTCATATATAAACTGCAACATAGCACTATGAAGAAGAGCAAAAGCTCATTAACAGCAGGACAGACAACAACAACAACAACAACAACAACAACAACAACAACAACAGCAACAACAACAACAACAACAACATAATGTTAGACACATATCTACAAAGCACTAGCACATGTTGTGCGCCTGTGACATAAGAATGATTGTTTGAATACTGCAGTGGAAAAACAATCTATAGTCTGCATTACTCATAGTTTCCATAAGTTACTCTCACAAACCAGCAAACTGAACAATGGGCTAAAAAAAGCCCCCGAAGAAATTGAAATTTACTGCGTTTAGAGGGTTGAAAATGGCATTTGGGAGCCTGTTTGAAAAGATGTCCAGCAACCCATAACACCTATTTTTTCACCAAGATTTTGTCTTGTTTAATTTCTCCATCTCTAAATATTTCCATTGCAGGCAATGTTTAAAAAGTTTCCCCTTGCCATTGCTAAGTCACTATAATTTATAGTTCAATTAATTTGTCATCGCACCATTGACAGGAAGGCAAAGATGGGAATAATAAATAGACATGCACCTTGACGATACAGTATAGAGTTACCCTTATTTTCCTCCATCTGGCAGGCTTCTACAACATGAATTTATTGCCGAGAGAATTACCGTAAATATCCAAAACTTATGCAAGATGATACAAAGGCAAGTATAGGTCCCCTGCCTCGGAATTTCGGTAACCCAATGCTATCGCACTTTTTTACGGAGGGAGTTGAAATTGATTGGAGAGCAAATAGATAACTATCAAAAGTACGGATTGCAGTAAAAATACGAAAGATTGCAAGCACTGCATATAAAAATAATCAGTGTCCAGAAAGTCTTGAACAACCAAGTTAGATTTTCGTTAAACATAAAAACATAGTGACGGATCGTTTTTCCAGTGAAGTTTTCATGTCCATTGCAAAACTGTGCCCACAATCAGCCCCAAACCTAGTAAATGAAGTGATCGTCTCAGCATCTCTTTGTCCCCATTGGCAGTGGCCGTGGTGTAGGATGGCTGGATCTTCAACAGCTTCCACGAGTCAGGCTGGGAGAACGGGCGACAGAACAGAAGCAGCAAGTGTGTCAGATTCACCGCAAAAGCGTCACTGACAAATAAACCGGATGGCAGGTTGTTGGCCCATAGCTTGGCTCTACCTGTAGTCAGAAAAACACAGTTGTAACAAGTTCAAAAGAAGAGTACCTGTGAATTTGGAAACTGTTCGATCGAGAAATGAATGTTCTGAGAAACAAAGTTACCAGTTCAACAAAATTTAAGGGTCTGCAGGTCCAAAAGATACAATGTAAACAGAGAAAAAAGACTTCACTTCAGTGAAATAAAATTAAAATGTCAACAAACAATAGTGTCTACAAATTAGTGTCTGTCAATGGGAAAAGGCACCGCGTGCCTTCTATGGGATCAGTAGTTCAAAGGCTTTCTGAGATAAAACTTTTCATATTCATTACAATTGATTTAGTATTTATAAAAGAGATCCATTAAAAAAATATCTGTTTTAGTTTTAGTTTTAGTAAGAGTTTTACGACACTTGCAACACAATAAGGTCAAATAAGTGCTGAATATCTTCATAGAAGAGGTAAGAACATCATTAATATATCCAGGAAAGATAGATGAGCTGTATTTCTGTATTTGTCTTTTTCTGTTAGCCAAAAATCCTATCTTACTGTCACACACTCATTATAACACCTTGTAAAAACAAAGACAGCCACTCAGCTTCTGTAGACCTGCGTTAGTTTTGTTTAAACTGCTAGAAACAAGACAACACAGCTGGGAAAGCTCACCTGCATTGCCTTGTATACATAGTCCAAGCCAGCGCAGGGTATAGTGCTTCATGTCCGGGCTCACTTTCATCAGATCCACAAAGATCTTGTGAATACAACCAATCAACTGCTGTGTGGCCTAATGGAAAACATAAATGTAAAAACCTAGATGAGATTTGGATTTGTTGCAAAAGAAAAAGCCTACACTGGCAGTTTGGGCTTCTTTTTTTCTCCAAGCCTTACTTAAGGTTTACTAAGCTGGGTTTTTGGTGAACTGTTAGCTCAGTTGGTAACATGCTGGACTACAGAGCCAATGGCACTGGTTTGAATCCTTACTGGGGTATTCTTAATTTGGAGGGTTTGGGGGTTTTTTAATAGCTCTCCACCCATTTCCTCCGCCTTATTGGAGATGGACATCAAATTCAAAGTTCCCACCTCTTAAATAATCTTACCGTGTTGAAAGAGCGTTAAACCCAAACAATGACCAATGACAATGAAGCTGGCTTTTTCTCTCGTCCTATGTGCAACATGCCCTTCCTGGTAAAGATACAGGGAAGTAGCCACACAAATGAAACTCACAACCTTCAGTGCTAGAGTTACAGTGAATTCAGATGACCACTTATCCTGCATGAAATTTTCTTAGTACATTTTGTCAAAAGCAGGACCACATCTAGCCCAGACGTGTATGTCCTTTTTTCTTACAGGTATCCAACCACCCCCTCACACTCAAGACCTTAAAATAACACAGCCCCTGCTACAAACAATCAATCAAATATTTCTACAGACTTTAATTCACATTTTTCCATTTTCCCAAATTTCCGTTGTTTTCAAATTTAGCATATGCATTTATTATCTTCCATTTATCATTTTCTTGTTTTTCTTTCGGTGGTGCTCGCTGTTTTTACCTGCCAGACACTGTTTTCCACCATGTCCACCTCCTTTTTTGTCTGCACGGATGGCTTAGAGAAGAACTGGAACGGCCCTTTGTCATAGCGAGGAAGGACACTGAGACTGAGGGCTGCGCCAATCGGTGTGTTTTCGTAAGTCCGCCCGTGGAAGTTTTGAGTGGCCTCTGGCGTGTTTTGGCTCATGAAGACCTAAGGTAGTGTGGCAAATAAGAAAGCAGTGTTCCTAAGGGCATAGTCTGGCTTTCAGGTATCTCAAAATTCAAGTCACATCAATTCTATTACAACCAAAAACAGAAAAACAGAAATAAAAACCTTACACTTTAAAAAAATGTAGAAACCTAAAGATAGACCACAAAGCATAGAAACAGTTTACATATATATCTGACCCTATCATAATTCAAGGGAACACTCTCATTACACTATTCCAAGACAAAGGATCCATCTAAGCAAATTCAGCAGGTTTTTCTGGTTGATCCTATAACTCAAAAGATACAAAAAATTACAGGCTGCCTGAGATCCTATTAAAAGAAAAAAAATGTACAGAGGGGGTGGGGAAGCTAATGCCAGACATATCATAAAGAAAACAATGAAAGTAAACCTGCTGAATTACAACACAAATATCCATAACAAATTTTCTCAGAAATAATTTCCTATCAAACAATTATAAGAACAAAAAGAAGCCATGAATGAAAAGTAAGCCCCTATCAAACATAAACAATCATTAGCATAATGGCCTAAGCCACAAACCATTCAAGTGTGGTGGCATACTTTTTACAGGAAAAAGAAAAAACTGATTTTCTTAAAACTGTCAGCAGAACACAGAGGCTTTGATCATATGATTTCACCTTCTTCTTTACTTTTCCAATAGTTGGAGGAGGCTTCTCCAACTTTCTCTACTAAAAAACCCTGTCTCTTGCCACTTTGCCGGCCTGAGTTGTTTAAGTTCCAAGCCAGGTTTCCACGTCTGTTTCCATCTTCTGTATCTCCCCCTTCTTCTTTTGCCTTCGTCCTTAGCTTCCAGAATATGTTTCACAAGTGAATTGTAGCATTTGATATGACCAGTTTGATAATCACATGACTATCTAGCACGTAATATTAGGCTTATGACTAAGATATAAACAGACACGGTGTAAAATGAGATTTCCTTACTATTTAAAGTATAAAAGCACCAGAGGGAAATTCAGAGTTAGATGATATGTGTCTGAACCCACCAGAAACAGAAATAATGAGTTGAAAGAAAACCCACCGTGGCCAGTGCTCGAGTAGCTGTGAAGAAATGCAGAACTCTGCAATACTTGGTGGCATCTCGGTGCACGACGCTCATCTCTGTCGCCATCAGTCTGCCCTTGACTTCTCGTAGAACCGGTATGAGTGCCTGACTGAGAGACGCTTGATCCTCACTGCTTTCGATGACCTGACACACCTCATGTAGGAATCGACAGGGGAAATTCTGGGGATCTACCAAGACGAGAAACATAACCATGGCATGAAAATGGTTAGAACAGGAAAACTAAGTGAGTCTGAAAAGGGGGAAGACAGAAATTTTGTAATTTTATAAAAGTTTACAATGTCAGAATCCTCTATTTTCAGAACACTACGCACGAACAGTGATGCTGCCCCGCGCTACAAGAACCAGCAACACTGTATTACATTTGAACATCGAGCAAAAACTGTTAATAAGACATTACCTGAAAGTAGTAAAAACATTCAAAACACACTGCAATATTAAAAATGAAATCAAAATAACAACTCTGGGAACAGTGTTTGTACATTATCCCTAGAGAATACTGCACACCTGACAAAGTAGGCCTACAGTTCTCTCTTAATAAGAAAACATGCAGAGTGAGCAAAGCAGAAAACAGAGCTATTTTCATGAGAGTCTGAAAATATGAAAACAAGAAAGTATAAGAAAAATAGCATTGCAACAGAGCAATTGTTGGTTGGTTGGAGGCAACATCTCTGCCTCGGAGGCCTCTGAGGTTGCTGTGGAATAATCAGTGATTCGCTACAGGTGTAACTGCTCTAGGGCACTAAGACTTTATGCTGTCAGTCTGTAGTAGTCTCTGCTTTCTTACCATTCCAGTCCCTTCTAGCTTGCCTTTTAGTATCCTTTTTTAAGAGCATTCTGTCTCTTTATGAGGCCAAAGTATTGCAGTTTCCTAATTTTGATTTTATTTAGAAGCAATTGTATGATACAACTAAAGGACAGTCAGTTTTTAGTTTTAGTAGCTGTTTTACTGCACTTGCAACACAATAAGGTCATATAAGTGCCGAAGATTAGAGGAGTTACAAGAGAGTAATTTACACAAAAAAGGAGGGGAGATAAGGACGATAGATGTTTTTTGTTTTTTGTTTTTGTTTTAGTAGAGGTTTTATGGCGCTCGCAACTGCAGAAGGTCATATGAGCGCCAGAAGATTAGAGGTGTTACAAGAGAGTAACAAACATAAAAAGAAGAAGGGGAGATAAGGACGACAGATGTTTGAGAGGAAAGAAGAAGCAAACCACACCAGAGCACCCGCCAACCACCCACTAAAGGGCAGTCAAAGCGAGCAGAAAAAAATAAAAAACTCACCATGTGTAGGCAGATCCTCCTCCACACACAGCTCTATGAACTGACTCATAAAGTCCTGGTACTCAAACAAACCAGGCTGCTGCAGACAAGTGGCAGCATTTTGCACAATCACAGATTTACACTCGTTCAGGAAGGCTGAAATCTGCTCACAGTTTGATTTCTGGAAAGCAAAGACTGTTATATTGTATCCGAGTAAATATAACGTTAAGGTTTAACTTCATTGATCCCTACAGAGAGATTTGTTTACACTGAAACACACAACAATCAAAACAAACATAACACCATGTTCAGAATACTATCAGAGAGGATTGTTCAATATATTCCTTTGTTCATTTTTTTTAAATGGGGAAACAGGAACAGAGAAGTGAAGAACAAGAATCTCCTTGTTCAGCAAAGGATAAACTGGTTCATACCTTACATATTTTTGTTACCCCACTGACAATTGGGTACCATTTTAACCTCTGGATAACAACTCACAGTGCGTATTATGAGACAAAACAAGAAGAGATGAGAGGAGATGAGACAAGATGAGACGGGGCGAGACCAGACGAGACAAGACAAGGCATGATAGACAAGATATGACAAGCCAAGACATGACAAGACAAGACTAGATTAGGTCAGATTATATACGATGATCCTCTACTGAAAGAGACTGACAGTGTGCTTTCACATCAGAACAAGAAGATGGAAAATCAACAAAGTCAATGAAGATGTGTTTGCTTTCGACAATGTTACCCACTTGATACTCTTCCTGTCGTGTGAGGCAACGGCGGTGACAGCAGTATAGATATGTCAGTACTTCTGTGTTCTCCAGCGTGTCGCTTTCAAGCACACTCTCCCGCTCACTGTCAATCTGATGGTTCAGCTGGAATGTGTCAGCGTGTCGATCCAGCATAAGGACCTCAAACACAATCTGGACACAGAAAATTGACATTTGAGATTGGGAGGAAATATTAATAAATCTAATTGAAAAATGGTAAGTCTGCAATTGCCAAATAAAATAAACGAAATGACACATATATTTGCAGTCTGCAACAGTTAAATAAGTAAACAGGGACCTCAACAGCTTTTCATCTTCACCAAAAAAATTCCTCACTCCCCATCCAATTCCAGCCTTAAAGAGAAAACTTTCTCTCCATTATACCTGTATAGAATAATAATAATACCACCGACTACCATAAATTATTTTGAAAAATGACAATCAAACCCCCCCCCACACTCTATAAAGGTTGGCGAATTTAGTTTTTTAGCACAACCTAACAGCTGGCTTATAACCTTGACAAAGTGGGAAAATTTACATTTAAATACTTTACTTTTACATCCTCTGTTGTCGTTAAACGTCGAGGGGAGATGCAGTTTTCTTTGGTAGGCCAGCTCCGCAGCTCTTTCAGTTGTGATATTATGTTTTCTCAGGGTTTCCCTGATACCTTCAATCCACCTTTTGTGTGGCCTTTTTCTTCCTTTATAGCCCGAGTGCTTGGTGTTGTAGGCTCTCGAGGCTGGCTAGCTGGCCAGGTGACACACGTAACAGGTGTCCAAACCATTTTATTCTCCGTCTTTCTAGGTAATGCAGGCAGGACTCAAAGCCGATAGCCGCTCTTCCTTCTTCATTTCTCTGCCTGTCTCGTCTTGTGATCTTAAGGGTTTTGGGGAGACAATTCATTTCGCATGCAGTGATTTTGCTTTCGTGGGTTTTACTTAATGTCCAGGTCTGGTACTGGTAGCATAATGTTGGTATGAATATTGAGGTGATAAGCTGTCTCTTTGTGTCCATGGAGATGTTTGGGTGAGATAAAAGGGGTGTGAGCTGAAATATGACAGCGTTTGCTTTTTGAGTTCACATTTCTATTTCTCTGTCTATGGACCTGTTTTCAAAAAAAGTACTGCCAAGATATTTAAACTTCTTAACCTGTTTCAGTTGTATACTATTGACATACATTTAAATAACAAATTTTAAAGGAACCAGATGGAACCCTTCCACTTACATGGCCAATATTAGAGCTGTCCATAAAAGGACTTTCTTTGTAAACCTCTGCAATATCAGGAAAGTAGTTGACTCTGGTACTTCTTTGTTTGGGATCTGGAATATCAGTAAACTGTATATATATAACAGCAGAACTCACATCAAATAAAATCACGTCAGAAATTCAATAACTATGTCTTCAAGACAGAAGACAAATAATGTGAATCTTGACATCATTAAACTTTGCACTCATACTATCATGAATAATGCCTTTGTCTTCGTTTCCACAATGAAACATTAATAAAAGTAAGAGATTCCAAGAAATATAGACAAGTAAGTTTTTGGTCAAAGGTAATGCAAGCCTAATTATCAAATACAAGTCAACAGTCCTACTTCTTCGCATGTATTCCAAACATTACTCTAGACTTTTATTTCCTAACTGAACTCATAACTGCAAAAGAATAAAGAAGCATAAAAAGAAATTACATGTTCAGAGTTCTCCCACTTACAGTTTTCAATTATTATTGAATTGTTCATCCAAGTCCCTCCCCAAAATATATCAGAAGAAAAAAAATGAATACATGAATACCTGAACGTAATGAGATTCTGAAAATATTCTCAGCTAACATGTCAATCTCTTTCGAGACATCACTTTCAACCGTGGTAGGTTGTGTGGCACCTGCAGATAGAGGAAAAAAATGTTCCTTTATATTACATCTTCTTTTTTTTTGGTTTCTTGTATGCGTGTGTATGTGTGTGCGTGCATGTGTGTGTGTGTGTGTGTGTGTATGTGTGTGTGTGTATGTGAGTGTGTGTGTGTGTGTGTGTGTGTGTGTGTGTGTGTGTGTGTGTGTGTGTGCGTGCACGTGTGAGCGAGTGTGGGCGTGTGTGGGCATGTGTGTGTGTGTGTGTGTGTGTGGGTGTGTGTGTGTGTGCACATGTGGGCGGGTGTGGTCATGTGTGTGAGTTTGTGTGCGTGCATGTGGGCATGTATGCGGGCATGCATTCATGCACGCGTGCATGTGTGTGTGTGCGCTTGATTGTTTTTTGGGTTTCATTAATCACTAGATAGATTTTTAACACTGAGTACTTAGGCAAAATTTCTTCGGACACACAATGTGGAAAGAAGCATGGGAGAATATTGTACCAACAGCAACAGGCAAGTTTGATGGAAAGAGAGGAAGAGGCAGACAGAGGAAAAAGATACTGGACAAGATGACAACATGGCTAGGAGCAGCAAGAACAACAGACACCATTGCTGCAACGCAAGACAGAGTGAAGAGGAGGTCCATGATCGCCCACGCCAGTCAGCAAGGCACCGGATGAATGATGATGACTGAGGCAAACAAACACTCCTTGGTGACTATAATTGGTCTAACTTATTGCTCAAGTCATTGTAAACAGAAGAAATACACTTTTATCTGTAACAACATCCAGGCCATTGAGAGGCTTTCAAAGGTATTCAGTGGTATCAAATAACAATTTTTTAAAATAGGGTTCAACACCCATACTCCAGGTAACCATAGCATAAAAGAGTCAACATTCCAAGGGATAATAAAGATGGTTACTTCATTACAACACGAGAACAAATCTGTACATTTTTACACCCTAACAACCCCACTCACAATCATCTCTCCTAATCTTTCTTGAAAGAAGCAATTCATCTTCAATAACAGCAAAGATAAGTAAATGTATATATATATATATAAATATACATATACAGTGGAATCCTGTTATAACGAGAGGGAGGGGACCGGTGCAAAATGTCCGTTACAGAAGGATTCTCGCTATAAGGGATCCAGTAATAAATTCAAGGGAAATAATAAAGTAGGCCTAATCTATGAGTTTGGTGTTCTGTTTAGTTCTTTTTGCTATCTATCTCCCCTGATGATGATTTTGCCCAACATGACCTCTAGGTCTTACTTGATCAAAAATCGAATAAGGTTTCTTTCTCTAGCGCTAGCGATGTTGACTGCTCGGCGTTGGCGATCAGAAAAAAGGGCTCTAGGATAACTCGCCCACTGTGTTTTCCCCCACCCCACCACACGCTGTGGTGCATACCGTCTGCTGGCGCACGTCACACATTCGCTCCATCCATCACAGCACTGTGACCTCTCCATATCCCTACATCGGAGAAGTGAGAGGCATGGTAGGCCTTAATATATAAACTAGGCTTACGCTGGCCTATCACGCGATGCGTTCTGCTTGTCTGTGCATGCCACAACCTCACTACTCAGTCGCTCCGGCCTTCATTGTAAACACACATGGGCTCTCCCATTCTTTGTTTCCCTAGATCACCAACACGTTTCTCTACTGGCGAGGTTTTACATTGGCCTATGCACTGTGCACAGCAGCAACAATATTCCACTATAACCGACTCGCATGTTTGTCTGATAGCGCAATAGCAGTATTTTATTTACAAAGGTAAAGAAGAGAAAGAAAACGGGGTGTTAGAATAGTGTCTTTATAACAGACTTCTCGTTTTTTCCGGACTCGTTATAAGTGGACTCCACTGTATGTACTTGACATAATTAATACTGATGTATCTACAAATCACAATTCATAATGCTGAACAACATCCTTTTAAAAAGCCTATTGAAACATGTAAGTCTTGAAAAAAAGGGGAGAAAAAAGATTCATTTTTTTAAATATATATATATATATATATATATATATATATATATATATATATATATATATATATATATATATATACTTGGACAGAAATAAACTATAATCTAAGAATGAATTTATAAATCCAAGGCCGACAATAATACACTTACTTATACTCTCTGCTGAAGCATTTGTCTGAACCGTTTTGGATGTTTCATCACAGAATTCTTTAGCTTGTTCAAGAGTGCCAAACAGAGCAGCAAATGGGTTGGACTCCAAACTTTTCGCCATTGTGGGGCACAAACGTAGTCACTGAGGAGAAAAACATTCTTAACTGTTTGATTGAAACTCAGACATAAATCATGCAAACACATGAGTTGTACATCAAAATGATTTGAGACTATCACAAATGTCCAAACTAACACACAAAAAAGCCAATGCATGCCAGAAAAATCTTGGAGCTGTGAGTGTGAAGCAAGGACCTATGATCTGCACTCTGTTGCATCAACTTTTGTATCTCTCAGTGACATTTACATTTGCCTTTGTTGTTAACTATTTGTCGTGAGATTGCTCTCGACTTTCCAGTTCCATACGCCTTTGTAGACGTAACCATAATGGGGAATTACATTATTGGCAAAAGCCCCACCCCCCACCAAAGGAGATCACTAAAATATCAAGGAAATGGGATGATTGCATCTCTTTCCCCCTTTGCACAATTTCTCACATAAACGCACGCTTCGTGTAAACACACACCGTGACACTCAGACCCTCCAGAGCACCATGCATTTAGGCGGAGTACTGTATCAAAATAAGTTTATTTGTTTTTATTAAATGACCAATTTAGCAACCTAGAAGTTTTGTCATTTTTAGATTTTGTACCAAAAGAGGACCTCGGCATAGTGGGCTTACCCATTTAGGAATTAAATTTAACATGCAACCATTCTAGAGGTCACATTTGCTTTGCACCCAAAAATACAGCGATATACTAGCCCCCAAAAGCAGCACATCTGCAAGCAGGTATGAAAGTAAAATTTTATGTCTTATCATTAATCCACCAACGATTTCCGACTACGGTACCATGAAAGGCAAGAGACAAAGAGACTGCCTTGTTGTGCAAGTACAACATTGGCTGGACTGTGAGACTAGTGGGTCACCAGGCCAGATTGAATAGAAGAGAAACAGAAAAGTATTGTAGTACAGTAACTCAGTAGTCTGCGCCAACAATCCCACTGCTTACGATCCCGGTTCGCATAAGATTACGCTGTTTTAAGAAAACAGAATGTTTACTATACAAAAGTCACCCCTGAGATCCCGCTTTGATTTGCTCTGAAGGTCTACACTGGGCTACGATCCCACATTTCAGATAACAATTTAAGGAACAAAAACCGGAGCGGGCACAACTGATCAACAAAGAGTGACAAGTTGAGATCAACAAGCTGCCCGTTGCGTAAAAAATCAGCCACTCTCATGAATGTGTTCACATGCATTGTAAAACTCGAAGAAAAAGTATAATGTTTGCCTCAGACGGGGTCACACCGAGGTGAGAACTGACCAATCCGTTTGTATTCCCCGAACATCGCACTCGCATCTGAGCTCTCCACCTAATCTTACATCACATGCTGGGTGGGTAGGGCCTACAAGATTGCTCAAGGCCAGATCACATCATAATGTGAACTCTTCGCTGACCATTGCAGCAGTTTTCTTTATTCCTGAATGCAAGACAGACTGAATATGATTGGTGTGGTCACAACGTAACGGTGCATAAATGACAATAAGGTGGGGGGACTCAGTCAGAGATATGGAAAGATGAATTTTGGACAGGTAAAGGGGAGGGCCAATTGGTTAAGCATAGATCTTAAGACCCACGATAGGATAATTTAAAGTTAAAGGTTGACCACTCTTTGCCAGCCATATCATGGCATACAATGTCATATAAACCCAGCGGAGGGAGACCATTTTTATTGATTGTGCACAACATGGGTCACCGTAGATTCTTCCCCGAGTCTGACGGGTAAGATCCCGCATTTTCCTTGCTCCTGAGCACCAGGATCTTAGGCGGAGACTACTGTATTAGAAATCTAGATCTAGATCTAGAACTAAGAAGTAGAAGTCTCTTCAATAGACAAAGGGTGGATCATGAGGAATTACTTCCTGATGTTATATAATGCCAACTCATCCCTCTATATATAATATAATACATTGAATGATATGCTCTTCCAGTTACATAACTCAGAAGGACTTCAGTAACGAGTGACCACCCCAACGCAATATAACGAACAGACCTAACCCTGCCCTAGCCTTAGGCTACCCCTAATGATAATCCTCCTCACCCAAACCTAAACCATACCCTGACTGTTCTACAGTCTCATAGCGGTCGCTCGTTACGGAAGTCCTCCCCATAACACAGACACAGGACTCAGAATAGTAATAAAAGTATTGTCGTCGTCGTGATTGTTGTGTGTGACTTACCACCTTGATTTTGATGAGGGTCGCGTTGCCTGCCCTGTGGTGTTGAGTGTTGAATTGGGAAGTGAATTTCTCTTACTCTTACTACGACGCAAGATCTATTCTATAGCTCAGACCTTAGATCTACATGTATATCTATTTCACTGTTAAGTTTTAGTTTTACTCTTTAATTACTCTGAAATTTTATAATTAGAATCACTAGCATAATGTAGACGTCTGTTTATTTTATGAGCTCTATACATGTAGATATCTACCCCAGATCCCCAGAGTGACTGCCTATTTTTTTATTTTTTTTTTAGATCTACTAGCCAGGTATTTTATAATGTGCACAAGTTTGAATGAAGCTGAGCAATTTTTTAGTGGACGGAAAACTTGTACAGAGTAATTTCGCTCCATTATTCGATTATTATGAATATAAACAGAAACAAACAATTTATGTTTGCTAACAGAATTAAATCTGAGTACTATGATGCAGCAAACAGTTAGTGAAAAAGTAATGAGATTCTTTAAAAGCGGTTTAACTAGCCTAGTTGGCATAGAAAAAACGTACGTCATTAATCTAGATCATTCTACTTGTAATACATTCATAGCGGTAGAAAATGCACTTGTTTTCAACTGCAGCACCTGACATATTATTAATGTTTCAAATCAATAATTATGGAGTTCCGTAACTGGGGCCTCACGAGCGCTCCGAATTTTGATTGTTGTATTGGTGGTGATTACTCAACTTTTTTTCAAAGTGGGCCGGATAATTGGGAAAATACCGAACGCGTCGGGCTGGATAAATGCATGTAAATGTATCTTTTAAAGTACAATATAAACAGAAAATAAATGCAACCAGTCAATTGACTATCAATTCCCAAAATACAAAACAACACACACACACACACACACACACACACACACACACACACACACACTCACTCACGCATACAACCAATGGGCGTTTTCCAGCTATCTATTTACCTGCAGCACATGCTACAATGAAGTCGGTTATTTCGCACACAAGGACAGCTCAAATTGTAGCGAGAAGACGAGGAACCTTGATGCAGACAAAATTCCCTTTATCTTCCCCCCACTTCCTTTGTCTCTCTCAGTACCTATCTCCCTCCCCCTCTATTTGTTTTTTTCTCTTTTTTTTCTGTCTCTCTTCGACCCTCCCTCTATCTCTCCGCCTTTCTCCTCTCTCAAGGTTTTCCCCTTACCCCCCCCCCCCTCTTTTTCCACACAGACATACACACGTCCTCTAAAACAAATACCATTAACCCTCTTCCGCTTCGTGATTGCCAATAAAAATAAAGAAGCATACATCATTAGACCAACATTGCATCGTCACGGAATAGATGGATGGAAAATTACATTTTCATTTTTAATATCATATGTGTAGTCCCTTCTCCCTCTCACTTTAA